CTGCGCGATAGGAGCATCGAGGTGAACATTATGTCTGGGCCGTTCAAGGGTAAGAAGGTGTTCATCCCTCGGATCGTCTTCAACAGTGAGGACGATGTGGTGAAGTGCTTTTCAAGAATAAGAATGGGAAAGTCAAAATTGGCACTATTCGGATTAGTGACATGCCGATCGAGATCGATATGATTCGGACTACCCTGAGATCACAGGACCTCAATCGCGACGGATTTCATCAGGCAGCCTAGCGTCATGGAGAACCGACTTGGGGAAAGTGAGATCACGGATAATGGGATCGAGATGGGGCTGATCGAGATTGCGATCGCGATCTCGCGATCGGGAACGACCTAATTGGTTGGATCACGATCGGAGACCGGACAAGTCGCGATCCAAGCTACAAGGAGGTTGGATCGAGGTAGCGTCGGCTGGGATATGCATGTTTGACTACATAGGACACGGGATCTGCACGCGAATTCCCCAGATCGGTGTGATCCGAAGGGTAGTGATCAAAGGCCAGAGATCGAGGATCGATCGAACCGAGATCACAAGGAAGAAAGGTCCGATCCCCGACAGTCACGATGGATCATTCAATATTAGGGTGGAGTCGTGCGAGATCGAAGGCTTCGTGGCCAAGATCCCCTCGCCAAGTGCCGGGATCACCCCGATCCCAGATCACATATTGGCGATTCGCGATCCATGATGGGGGAACACCAGTTTGAGTGGATCCTAGGCGTATATGGCACAATGGAGGCTCCCGAAGTATGGAAGATGGCACTGAAGACATGGAAACGCGGGATCGAAGTAGACCAGGCGAGATTAAGGCGATGTTTGGGACACGATCGCGGAAGGCGCGATTACTGAGATCGCGATTATGTGATACGTGATATGAGATGGGCAAGTACGATCCGGCGACAATGCGACGAGAGCGTCTAAGATCTGCAAAGATCCGGGATGGAAAGCAGCTGGATGATGGTGAAGGGTAAAGGAAGGTCAAATAGCCAGCTTGGGTAGGCGATCTAGTGATTATAGACTTAGGCATCCAAGTTGGTGAAGGGCTTAACTATATAGAACTCAATTTGCATCGTACTGCACAAGCGTCTTCCTGCCCTCAAGAACCTTCCCTATATAGACTGTTCGAGCTCAGTGAAGATCAGGGATAGTTGATCTAGCGTTGGTTGTGATAACTGGATAATATATTGGCCAGATCATACCACCTAGTGAACTTTCGTATCAAGTACTGATCTAAGGTTAACCGGATTTACTACTTGGCCGGGTATACCCTCGAGTTCTCAACTCTCAAGATCCCGCTATAGGAAGCGGCAAGTACGACGAAAACGAACCTCACTAAAGGAAACACACCCACAAGGCAACCCCACGGCCGGATCGCAGATCTAGGCAGCCAAATCCACCAAGCTCGAGCTATTCGC